AGAAGAAGAAGAAGAAGAAGAAGAAGAAGAAGAAGAAGAAGAAGAAGAAGAAGAAGAAGAAGAAGAAGAAGAAGAAGAAGAAGAAGGAGAAGAACCACAGGGAAATATGACTCAATTGGCTGGGCTGTAACCAAGAGGTCCTATTAGCAACTGTATCAAGCCCAGGGCTGAGGCCTGGTAGCAGAAATACCTACAAGAACAGAGACATCCTGACCACCTGATGACTCTCCAAAGATGGTCACAGAGCCTGGGTTTCCTCCAAAGTTGGCAATGTTGTCCTGGATCCAGCGCAGTGCAGCCACCTGGTCCAAATGACCCCAGTTCCCCCGGCTGTGTTCATCCCCTGTGCTGCAAGAGACAGATTGATAGAGGGAAACAGAATTATTAAAGTGGTGCTCTCAGGAACTGAAATGGTCCAGGGAACTCTCAGTGTTTCAGAATGAGTTTATGCTTTGTATTCCTGACCCAACTCTCTTTCCTACAGCAGCATCATTTGGAGAACTGCACACTGATTCTTCTAGTTGCTGTGGACTGAGCATCTGCTGTGTGTCCAACAGAGATCTAAGGAATCAATAACACATAGAAACAAAAGAGCCAAAAATCTGGCTATCCTCAATTCATGCTAAAGAACAAAATAAGCAAAAGAAAAAATATATAGTTAGATAATGAAGGTACTTTGAGCATAAATAAACCCAGATAAAAACAAAATTACATGAGGGAGAATGTGATATATCAGATTTCATAGCCAGTGAAAACTTCTCTGCAACATTAGAATTTGGTAGAAATTTGAGTAAAATGTGAACATGGGCCCTATAATTATTTAAGGAAATTTCATATAGGCAAAGTAGGAGGAGCACAGAGGTTAGGGACAAGTGACAAAATTGAGTGTAGCTATTGTGAGTTGTACTACACAGCTTGTTGTAGGCACAGGCAAGGACTTCTGTGTCATAGAAAGTAACATTAGAACACTTCTCAGAAGCATGATGTCATTCTAGCTGTCTCACCTGAACACTCTATTACATGAAACAGTCATCATGTAAAATTAACAAGATTATGAAACTAATTGGTTAAAAGCCAGGACAAAGTCACAGGCCTTGGGCTACAATGCAAGCAAGGAGAAGCTAGACAAAAACATCTATTTGGCAGAACCAGGGATTGAACTCTGGCCCTTGCACTTGCCAGGTAAACACTTATTCTACTGAGATATCTCCCTGGCCCCAATCGTATTTTAAAGTTGGATCCAAAAATATTTTCTGTGGGTTTGGGAGATAGCTCAGTAGGATAAACACTTGCCTGGCAAGCACAGGGTCCTGAGTTCAATTTCCAGCACCACAGAAAAAAAAATTCTGGCTAAGTGGATGAGAGGTAGAAGTAAGAAAGAAGTCCAAGCTGACCACAAACTTCTATCCTGAGCAACAGGGAAGATGAAGCTGTGGATGGCTGCACAAGGGGTTTATGGGACTAGAAGAAGTCATTGTTGAGTGAAATTCAATAGTCATTATGGGCCATCTGAAGTAGTGAACATCATTCTGTCTATGTAAAGGTGGAAGCAACCAGCAGACATCCAATGGAAATGAGAGAAAGTAGCTAAAAATGACAGATAGCTTTAAAAGACAGGTGAATCCTATAAACGAGCTAGCTAGTCACTCAAGAATTTAGTTGAGGCCAGCCTGATAGCTCAGCAGACTAAAGAGCCTGCTTAGGCAGAGCACAGCTTCTGGAGTTTGATCCCAGTCATGCCATGTTAGCCCCACGCCCAGGAGGTGATGAGATGGCCATTGACACTGTGCGTGGTGGTGTGCACTTGTCATCCCAGTGCATGGGAGGCTACAAGCAGGAGAATCACTACAAGTCCAATCTAGGTAGTGAGACCCTGTAAACCCTGTCCAAAATATAGAAAAGAAATTAGTAGAGAAGGAAAAAAGGAGGACTGAGCATGGGGGAGGAAAGGGGGAAAAGGGGTTAAAAAGAATCAATCAAGAATTGGGAGATGGCCAGAACTGCAAGAAAGAAACACTTCAGAACTCAAGAAGGAGTTGGCGTGGCTAAATCTGAGCAGCCTAATAAGGCAGTTCTGAGTGTTCATGGAGATAATTGTTGGTCTCCATGAGAACAACCTGGCAGTGGGGTTACTTGAAAATCTGTCTCAGGAAACATTATCTGCACTACTCCATGCGGATGCCCATTCTTACTTTCCCAGAAGAAGCATACCCCTTACTTGCTCTGCTGAATGTTCATTCCCATCAAAGATGGGGAAAGGAGGAAATTTTCTCAATGTTACTGGACATGGAATACAACACAGGTGAAAATGAGTTAGATATTTTAGAATAAGTAACATGAGGGATTTGTTTTTTGGAGAATGATTAGAATTTGATAGGTAGAGCAGACAACCTGGGAACAGGGATTCAGATCATGTAAAGCTCAAACACAGATAGGCAAGTATGGCTGATGTTCGAAAGTTTAGCCAGGGATATAGCTCAGTGGCATAAGTACCATTCTGGCAAGCTCAAGGTTCTGAGTTCTATTCCTAGTACAAAAAAAAAGAAAGAAAAAAAAAAGTTCATTGGAATCCAGTAATGAAAGGATTGACATATTAATAAACACCATGATAAAGGATGCTTTTGGGGATGGTATGACTATAGTCAAGACCTCATATCTTTGATGTGACAAACACTGAGGTTTGGTTTACACGTGGATTGTTTCCAAAAGGCTCATGTGAAAGAGACTTGATCTCTAATATGCTAGAATAAAAAGGTGACAAAAATTAGAAAATGTGAGGCTCAGTGTAAGATGGGTCAGGTGCTAAAACGGCTGCTTTTGGAAGAGAACAATGCAGCACTCATGAGAAACTGATTTGTTCTCCAAAGAGCAAGCTGCTATACAAGAGAAAGCTTGGCTCAGACTGTGCCCTATGATTTCTGTCCTGTACTCTGACCCATTCTGTATGCTGAAGATTCACTTTCAGATTTCTACCACATTATGCCAGAGACAATGGGCTACCACCAAAGACCAACCAAGCAATGTGATATTGGAATGAACTAAACAACTTTGTGTACTTAAATGTTTACTTGGTCCCACATGCTTTGCCATATCACAGAAAACAAACCAACACAGAAGGGAATACACACAGACAAGGCAATATACCTTACCTGAAGAATCCCCAGATGCCCAGGCGAAACTGAATGGTCACCACTACCACATTTTCATGGGCAGAAAGAGCCAGTCCATCATAAGTTGATGCTGCACCCACCACATTACCACCTCCATGGATCCACACCATCACCTGGAAAAAGAGGAAACAGGCACATTGATTATAGAAAATGATATTGGAAATTACCTCAAGGTTTTTATGAATAGGTCTTTTACAACATTATGGCTATGACTGAATGAGCCATTAGCCAAAGTTCATCGACACAGCAATGTTGCAGTGGGTATTAATCCTCTCCAAGTCTTCAGGCTAGCACAGGAAACTACCCCACTGAATAAACTCTGGCTTCCCTTGCCTTTCTGCCCTGACCTATGTGTCATGTTCTTTCAAAGCTCTCCAAAATGGGAACATCATGAAAGATAAGTAAAGTCAAGGATGTCATAATTTCCCCAATACTTCCCTGTACTTATGCCTCGACCATGCAAAGTCAGATATAGTCCCTATCTGACTATATAGAAGGCAAAGAGTAAGATTTTGTATTTTGTATTAATCTTAGTTAACTTTTAAGTAGGGAATTATAGTTCCTATGAAATAGCAAAAGCTAGAAACACTCAGTGTAATGTTTCATATCTTGTCTCCACATTTCCTCCTCTGGGGCCTGAATCCTACATATTGTCCTCAACCTAGACACATATTCATCTCCCTGTCAGGTTGTCAGACATCTGACTAACAATAGGCAAGAATCTGCCATGTGTCTGAGACTAATGAGAATTGAAAATTACAGTTCAATGAATAGAACGATTCATAATATGTCTTCTTATACTTAACAGCTCACATACTGTTAAATGGGAAGAAATGAAAGCAGATAAAATACCACTGTAATAACACTAGCAGAAATAGCATATAACATAAAATATATAACAATGACTGTTACCAGCACTGAAAATTGCTTGTCAGAATAATGATACTAGCTATGTCCCATATGACAGAAAAACTGGAACATTTTATTGCCTAAGACCTACTGGGAATAATTCATATAGTCAAGACTTAGTGAGAGACAGCAACAAGAGTCGTCCAAGCAATCTGTCCTCAGATCTCATGCATTTCCTTGCTTGCCCACTGACTACAGCCCACAAATACAGCATAGTAATCTGACTTTTAGGGCAAGAGGAACATACTTATCTTGTTCCACCTGATGAATGTTGAATGCTTATGCTATTTAAGCACACAGCACTGAGTGAAAATTTATAATCATTACTGTATATTTTTTTTAAATTTTATTTATTTATTTATTTGAGAGAGAGAGAGAGAGAGAGAGAGAGAGAGAGAGAGAGAGAGAGAGAGAGAGAGAGAGAGAGAGAGAGAGGCCAGCTCAGCCCACCAGGGGGCAGGGCTGGCTGGCATGTGGTGCCGGGGGATCGAACCGCAGTCCCTGATGCTTTTGCTAAGCTTGTTCTAAGTAGGTGCTTAAGACCACTGAGCCATCTCTCCAGCCCGCTGTATACTCTTATGCTATTATTCATATTTGAGTAAATAGAAATTGAAAGAAGTTAAGAAATTTTCAAAGTCTCTGGACCAGTCAAAGTTAGGTTGAAGGCTGAAATCTAGACCATGTAGTTCTAGAACATGTGTCATATTTAGAAGTCTCTTGCTTCCAGGTTTCCAAAGCCTCTAAGCTGCAGCTCTGTTTCTTTCCTGTACCCAGAGCATGCACTAAATCACAATCATCTTTCAATGAAGATTGTTGAGAAATGATATACTGATGAATTTAGTATGTAGCTGAGCAGCTCAGATGACAAAATCCTTTAAGGCAGGTCTGTGTGTTCATGGTTTCTTCCTTGTTTCTCTAAAATCTTAGGATAACTGACTTATTAAGGACACTAAATGTGTAGTAAAAGTATGAGTGAACATATGAGGTAGCATTTATCCTCAACTTTTGTGCCTTAAAACAGGTGAATGACCAACTTCCTAGTCCACATCCCTCCTGCCCCACTCCTGGGCTCTGTGCCATGGTTTTCATGCTAGACTGATTTGGTGCTTAACTTTTCAACCTCATGGGCTCTGGACTTCATGTTTTCCATCATGGCCTGGCCCACCATCTGACCCACACCTGCAATAGATTTCAGCTCTTATCTTCTATTCTCTTGCAAATGCTGACCCATTGGGCCAAAATCAACCTTGCCATATGCAATTAGACAGGTAAATACATTGCAATAAAGCATGTAGATTTGCCAAGCTGGCTTCAGTCCCATGTATGCTGCATTCAAAGTTCCAGGATCACAAAAGTCACAAGTGCTGACCAGTGGTACCATGCTTACCGGCAGACTGCTTTTCTTCCTCACATCCACAGGAGTGTAAATATTTAAATACAGACAATCTTCAGAATGCTTCAGAGAAATGCTTTCCTTCCTATTGGTATAGAAATCAGAGATAAACTGGCTCGCTTCTGGATCTTGAGAGCACCTGGAAGGGAAGGAAAAATATTTACAGTTTAACTAGGTGAAAATTGCAAGTGGCCTTTGTGGCTTAACCTTGTACATGGATGTTTGAGCCTGAATTATGTGATAATACCACCAGACTGGAGTTACTGCAATGAGAAGATGGCATTCTGGGGGTCTGGTTAGATCCATGGGTCTCTAGAATCTCAAGATCATGCAGAATGAGAAGAATTTGGCAACTCTACCCTTTTCCTAGACTTTAGGATGGACTGATCCAGGAATAGCAGGTGGTTTACTTGGTGTTTTTCCCTGGAAGATGACATTTCCTGTAGAAACATCCTCCTCTGGGTTACAGAGAAACCAAGTCCTTCCACCAAGTAATCATATTCCAGTCCTTAGTAGACTTCCTTCAACCAGATCCTCTGATATAAGAAGTTGTGCTCAACAGTTCAGGGATGCAGTTTGGAGGACAATTTCAGGAAAATTGCATTTCAGGACTGGCTCTACCATAGATGTGCTGGTTGATTATGAGTAAATTCCTTTCTCCCTTTATCCCCATCTGCAATTTCTTAAGGGTCCTGCATCTCTGCCATGCTAGCATTCCTTCATCACTCTTTCCAAGGCAACCACTGTAGGCTACCCAGATAAGACTTCTCTATGATCCAACATAAATTATAACCTGCAACATATTATGAGTTCCTCATTGTTCTTGGAATTTATTTAAATTCTTCTTATGTAGTAAGTCTTTGTGATGTCTCATAGAATCCACCCTAGTACCTTTGAGGTTCTCTTCTTAACTCTTTTACAGGTAAGAAAGATAAGGTAGGACAAGTTTAGAGAACCTGCCAAGGGTTGCATAGCATAAATACTAATGCAATGTGTCAGTGATTGTCCCAAGTGCGTCATACACCATACTTCCAGTTCTCAATGTACCTAGCTTGCAGAATCGCTGCCTACAAGATGTACAAGAACTGAGGCTGTTCAACTACTTTTTCTTCTGCCTAAGTTTAGCTCATATCATACTATAAACTATGTATAAAATGAAATTGGCAATAGTTTATAGTATGATATGAGTTAAAAAGTTCTGTTCTCCAGTAGATTATAAGAACTAAAAATATGCTCAACACACAGTAGGTGTTCAATAACTATGTGCTGAATAAAAGGGTCTAGAACAGTATGGCACTTCTATAATGTTTGAAAGTTTCTTGATTTCAGAACAAAGTAGAGCTAAACAGCCTATTATATCATTTTTTTCCTTTGTCTCTATGAAGAAAACATCCCACTGAATGATACCAAAGCCACCCCCTGAAACTTACATGGGAGGGTAAGAGGTGGTATTCTTCACATACTTCCATGGTTCTGGAGGTTGTGGAGGCACAAATCTCAGGGATCCCAGAGGGGGCTTCGCAAAAGGGACTCCCAGGAATACAGAGACAGGCTGTGCAAATCCTTCTAGGCTGACATATTTCCCCAGGATTTTGCCATACACGGTGTCCACCACAGGTGGTGAAGATGCTGGACATAGACAGAAAATGAGTTGACATCAGAGGAGAAAGGTGAGGCCCACAAACCAGGTGGGTTTTGCCTCATTCTAGGCATGTGAGCTTGACTAAGTCCTTTCTTTAATGAGAAAAAAAATTATAAAAATATATGGAGATGTAAAGGATGAATTATGAAGGAAGTCTTGGAACTTGACAAATATGGGGGCTATGGTTAGAAAAGAACCAGACGCCTGCTCGCCGCACCCAAGACCCCTCCCCAGCCAGACCCCATCCTGCCATGTATGTGGGAACATCTGTCTGCTTGCCACAAACAATAACCCTCTCCAGCCAGACCCCAGGCCCAGCGTGGGGGGGGGGGGGATTTCTGCCTGCTCACCTTGGACAAGACCCCTCTCCAACCAGACTTGAGGTCTTGCACCAGGCCTCCTGGTGGAACCTTGCAGCAGAACTCCCTGAAAAGAGGCTAGGAGGCAGATCTGCTGAGCTAATCCATAAGCTGAACATCTTGTCACAGTGACACAGTGGGTTCACCTCTAAAAGCTGCAGCAGGAAGAAGCTGAGCACAGCAGCCAAACCAAAGTGAAGCACATCTGGACAAGCTCAAAGTTGGTAGATCCAGAAAAGGTAAGCTGAGACACTCTCTGGGACCAAGATCTATAAGAGTGTCCTCTCCCTTTTACTCATGATCTACAAAGGGGGCAACAGGTAACCAGGTGAAGGAGTCTGCCTAGAAGACCTGAGGTACATCACAGGGAGGGGATTAGACAAAATTTAGGGGAATTGATTTAAATACAAATTCCCACTTTAATATCTGCTTAGCTGCACAGACATAATGTTTGCTCTTACAATCTAAAATACAAACCCATTAGTTACAAAAGTCTGTCAACCGCTAAATATTGCTACCCACTATTACTGTTTCTAATTTTAATTCTGTAAAAACAAAACTAAAACTGGCTTAACCATATAATATCTTCAGTAAGAATTTTGGTAGGTGCTAAGGTTATAGCTGCAACAAAGATCTACACCAAAGGTCAGAGGGCAGTGATATAAAAAAATGACAAAGAGAAGGAGCAAAATGCAATCAATTTCAGGCTCCAAGCCTACCCAGAACAAATGCAACAGACACTAGCAGGGTAGAAATTTGTAATCACACAGCTGAATTCTCTGAATTACTAGCATCTGAAGTAAAGAAACAGCTGCAGAAAGGTATAGAAGAAATCAGATCAGAAAAATCTTCTGAAATAAAAAAGAAAACTCTGTATTAATAGCATCTGAAAAAAAAGAAAAAATAGCATCTGAAGTAAATAAACAACTGCAGAAAGGTATAGAGGAAATCAGACCAGAAATAATCTCTGAAGTAAAAAAGAAAATGTACAATGAAAGAATTAATAACTACTTCTAAAGAAGACACTGATTAAAAAATTAGAGTATAGAAAACAACAGGGGCCTTGAATGAGCAATATAGGAAAGAAATAGATCACCTGAAGCAGAGTCAGAGATATAGAGGAACTTAAAATCCCAAGCACAAGCTTGGAAAACTGAATGTAAGTGAAGATAGAGTTTCAGATTTTGAAGACTCCCATGTAGCTAGTGAAAAGGTAAGAAAACATCTCTTAAAAACAATTAGGATTAAGGAAAAAATAATCCAACATCTGCAATATGATGCAAAAATGGAAAACGTGAAACTAATAGGCATCAATGAGAAAGGAGCCAATACACATGATATAAATAAATATGGACAGAAGTAACAGCAGAAAATTTCCCAAATATGGAGAAAAAAATCTGACATTCAGTAACTGAAGCATATGGAACTGCAAATAGCATCAACCCAATTAAAAACACACCGACACATATAATAGTCAAGATCCCGGAAAAGCAGCACAAGCACAATATAAGAAAGGCTGCTAGAGAAAAGAAACAGGTTACATTTAAAGGAACGCACATCAGAATAACTGCAGATTTCTCTTCACAAACCATGAAGTCAAGAAGAACATGGAATAGAGTACTCCAAGTCCTCTATGAAAACAAATTGCAGCCCAGACTACTACACCCTGCAAAATTCTCTTTTATGGTTAGGATAGACATATAGTTACATTCTGTTAATGAATAATGGGATTTGTTCTAATAGTGTTTGTAAACAGGATATCATGTCTGCATCTTGTACAGCAAACAACCACTAGGAAGAGAATATGCAATATGTTAATTACTGAAACTATCCTACCAATTTGATTTGAAACTGTCTCATTGCTATTTGTTTCTCAATAAAATTATGGGGGAAAATTCTCTTTTAAGTTTGATGGAGAAGTGAAATGCTTCCATGGCAAAGAAAAATTGAAGAAATTCATGACAACAAAGCCAACCCTACATAGACTACTAAAAGATGTCCTAGAGAGGGAACAAAATGATCAGAATTTCATGAATGAGAACTGAAGAAACCCACTAAATGGGACAAGCAATTAAATACAAGAGAAAAAGGAGTAAATAACAGCAGGTAAATAGCATGTCAATCATGATTCAATATATATCGATCATAACTATCAATGTAAATTGATTCAATTCAACAATTAAAAGAAATAGATTGGCACAGTGGATTATGGAGCAAAATCCAAGAATATGCTGTATATAAGCAACACACTTGACTCAAAGAAATTCATAGACTGAAAATCAAAGGATAGGAATCAATTCTACATGCCCCAGGTGCTCAGACAAAAGCAGGGGTAACAATCCTGTTCTCAGACAATCTCAACTTCAAACCAAAACTGAGCAAAGAAAATAAAGAGAGTCACTACATACTGATTAGGGGAAATATTCAAGAGGAAGAGGTAACACCCATAAATATGAATACACCAAACAGAGGAACACCCAACTATGTAAGACAAATTTCAATGTACATGCAAAATCTAATATCCAATACCACAACCTTAACAGGAGACCTTAAACCCCCTTATCGCAAAAGGGGACATCTGGTCAATCACACAAAATATTAGAAAACAAGTAGCAGAACTAAACCAGAACTTGGTGGAAATTGACTAAGTGGACATACATAGAGTGTTCCACCCACAGCAGAATACGTATTTTTTTTCAGCAGCACATGGGACATTGTCTAAAATAGACCACACACTAGTGCATAGGTCATGCTTAACTACATATAAGAAAACAGATATTATCCCATTCATATTATCTTACCACAGGGTAATGAACATGGAAATAAATGAAAAAAAGAAACCAGAAAAACCCGATAAATACATATAAATTACACAACATCCTACTCAACAACTAATGGGTCACAGATGATATTAAACAAAAAATTAAACACTATCTACAATTCAATGAAAATTAAAGCACAATTTATCAGAATTCGTGGGATACAATGAAATCAGTTATTTGAGGGAAAACTACAGCTCTGAATTCACACATTAGGAAAGCAAAACGAGAAAAATAAGTACCCTCATGCTAAACCCAAACATCTAGAAAAGGAAGAGCAAAGCAAACCCAAACCCCAAACAGTCAGAAATTATTACAATTGAAATGAAGAAAACAATTCAAAGAGTTAACGAATCAAAAGACTGGTTTTTCAAAAGATTAAATAAAATTGATAAGCCTCTAGCTAACCTCATCAAAAACACAAGAGAAAAAACTCAAATACAGTCCATAAGGAATCAAAAGGGTAAAATTACTACAACCAAGTGGAAATTCAGAAGATCATCAATAGCTACTTTGAGAATTATTACTCTCACAGAATTGAAGACACAAAAAAATGGACAGACTCCTAGAAAGTTACAACAAACCACCAAAACTGAATCAAGAAGATATAAGAACACCCAATAACAGAATAACTGCCATTGAAATTCAAAATGTAATGAAAATCCTACCTACATGGGGTCAGGGAGATGGCTCAGTAGAATAAGCACTTCTTGGCAAGCACTAGGGCCTGAGTTAAATCACTTGTACCACCAAAAAAAAAAAAAAAAACCGACAAAGAAGAGTCCAACTTCCATTAGATTCAGGGCAGAATTCTACAAAAAATTTACAAAGATATAAACACAATATTCCTCAAAATCTTCAAGGAAACTGAAAAGGAAGCAATCCTCCCAAAATTGTTCTAGGAGGCAAGTATTATACTGATACCAAAACCAGAGAAAGACAAAATTAAAGAAGAGAACAACAGGCCAATCTCCCACATGAACATAGATGCAAAAATCCTCAATAAAATCCTAGCAAGTAGAATACAGCAAATCATCAAAAGATTATACACCATGACAAGGTAGGATCCATCCCAGGGATGCAAGGATGGTTCAATACACACAAATCTATAAATGTAATACACTATATCAACAAAGCCAAATCCAAAAACAACATGGTCATCACAATGGATTTTGAAAATACTCATTCATGTTCAATGTCCTACAGAAACTTGGAATACATGACCTCTACCTCAATCTCATAAAGCCATCTATGATAACCCAATGCCTAACATAATTCTAAATGGGGAAAAATTGAAATTTTTTCCTCTCAGAACTGTTACAAAACAACGATATATCCTCTATCACCATGCCTATTCAATATAGTTCTGGAGTCATTAGATAGAGCCATTAGACAAGAGAGACAAATAAAAGCAATGAGAAAAGGTAAAGAAGAATTTAAACTATCATTATTTGCAGATGGCATGACCTGAAAGACTCCAGCAAGAAGTTTCTAAAATTAATAAACAAATTTGGTATCATAGCAGGATACAAAGTCAATATCCAAAAGTCAATAATATTCCTCTACACAGATAAGAAACACATTGAGAAGGAAATTAGAGAAACAATATCTTTTATAATAGTATCATGGAAAAGGAAATTCTTATGAATTAATCTAACTAACGAAGTCAAAGATCTATTCAATGAACATTACAGTACTCTGAAAAAAGTGATCATAGAGGATTTCATAAAATGGAGATATTCCCTGCTCCTGCATAAGATGAAGCAACATTGTGAAAATGATAACCAAAATTGTTATACAGATTTAATG